CTTTTTATGCAAAATTTATGATGATTTTCGACATAAAGCACACAAGGTAGGTGTGAAGAAACAACCAATCATGCAGTCAACCCAGTTCAAGTTTTGTAAAAAAACGCATGATCGCACCGGCTCGCCTGGTGCGTTCCAGCCTACGTTGCAATTTACATATATGCCAAAACGCATAAAAACGCATGACTAGCTGGAAAACGGGATATGTAATTATGTCACGATATTTGTTTTCTGTCTAGAGGTTCGTTTATCTAAATGGAGCCTCAAATTGCTCTTGCGATACATTTTAGGGCACACCGATGATATCTGTAGTGAAGTGGCAATTTCGGATATCGGACAAGCTGCGAAGCTTAAATTTTGCAAGGATATTCTATATTCACGTCTGCTCTAAACTCAGCTTGGAGGTTTATACCCTCCACAAGCAAGAAAAGACCAAAATGCAGCCAGCATCAGTGCACATATTAAATTCTAGAGCAGCAACCATTCATGGCGTTAAAACATCATTGCTTCATCTTTAGCATAAAAACGGGCACTCGCACCGGCAATTCTGTTTGTTGCTAATTGGGTTAAATGGTCATTTACAGAAAATTGCTGTGACCACGAAAGGAATTAATTTGATATGCAAGACATCTGCTCTTGCAGACAACCAGTAAAGTAGCGTATCAGACAGTGATACGATAGTTAAATTGTCTCAGCAGCACTAATAAGACCAGATTCCCAACTGACTGGATGTTTTTGGTAACTTTTGCAACAATCATAAAAATGTGACGAATATACGCTTTAATCAGCTGTAGTTCATAGCGTAGTTCTCAGTTGCGCAGTTGGCAACTTCCCCAATCGCTTTGACCATTCCTGCATCTCGTGATGGTCGGTATGTTTGCGATCCTGATGTCGATTTCGACTCCTAGGGAATACCAGCTCAGCGTTTCTTCTGGTGCATGTGCTTGTAAGTCCCGGTCTGTTGGAATGTCGTTGTTGCATATTTGGCATTTCCTCGTCTCAGACTTTGCCACTCGCAGATGCGATGATGTATCTTAACGACTGAAAGGAAATGGGGCAATTTTTTACACTACTTTAAATTCGGGTTTAAGTGGCCCAAAACTGAACAAATATGAAAAATATGGCCCAATAAACTTCTTTTCGAAAAAGTGCACGCAGTTCTTTGCTTTTGCATAAAAATTTTTTCCAATGTAATCGTCCTGTCAATAAAATACAGCTCATATCACTAACAGCGCAAGTTTGCTGATTTTCATAATCTGTGTAATTTCAGCGTGGTCGAAAATCATATCAGCAGGATCAAAGAGTGCAGCATCGAGGTGCTGGACTCAGTCGCTTTCGATATCAGAGTCGCTACAGTCCACTGCAGTACCGCCCGCGGGCGTCCTCAAATCAACAAAGGCAATATCCAAGTCAACGGCACAGTACTGCCCACACTTACTTCATGGCTCCAAAACCAGATCCTACCTTATCAGATGAAAAACAAATCCCGCAGGCTAACTGGGAAGGAGATCAGGCTGCGAGGCTGCACAGTCAAGTACAGCAAACGCCGCCTAGTTACTCCACGCCTCAGTCGATGCAGGCTGGTCCCCACTCTGGTTCGACTGATGGCGCAACATACGCCAGGGAAATTGCTGCGGCTCAAGAAAGTGAACGTCTGCAGGCTCAAAAAAGCAGAGAACAGTACGCGCAGCAGCAGCAGGCATATGAGCGAGCTCGTGTAGAGGCTTTGCGTGAGCGCGAACGACTGGCGTATGAGCAGCGACGGGAAGAATATGAGCGGGCCGTAAGGTACCAGCAAGAACTCCAGCGATATCAGCAAGCAGTGTACGCTGCGCAAAATCGTGTTCCGAAAGAGAGAGCTCATGAGGAAGAAACAATGCGGCGAGAACCGCAAACTCAACATCAAGCAGAACGCTGGATTTTAGGAAATGAGCAAAAAACGGCTGGGTCGTTTGTATCTTCACCAGCAGTAGGAGATACTCAGAGTTACGATGAAATCAAACGCGCCAAGGCCAGGCTACGAAAACGCTTAAAGTTTGAAAAATTGAAACAGATGGAGAAAATGCGAAAACTGCGCAAAACAACTCCACGGCCAATAACCACTGCGCCAATACCTCCCCTACAGTTTCAAAGGCCACATGAATCCGCGTTCGGATACGAAATTCAGCAACAAAAGCAGCAGCCGCACGCTTGGTTTGGGCAAGAAATTCAGGAGCCGCAAAGGTCTCCTTCCTCCTATCAGGCACCTCAGCCTTCTTCAACACTGCCTCAAAAGCAGTCACAGTATGATTTTGCATCTAGAAAATCGGAGTTCTACGTTACTTCACAGCCTCAGTATCACGAATCACAGCATCAGCTACCTCCGCCAGATCCCTATCAAGCCCTTTACGATCGAATACAGCATCAGCCTGTGACAGTTACTACTAAGGAGGTGGTCACAACAATGCCTACGTCACATTCTATCGGCGTAACGCAACCTGATGGCAATCATCAACCAGGTTGTTTTAGAAAGTTAAAAATATTTCTGATATACGTATATGCCAAACTTTGCTTTTTCTTTAAACCGTCTCTTCCGCCAACGACTGCAGTTTTCGAGATCCTCCTTCAACCTCCGTATAATGTGCCTATAGAGGAAAAAATACTCCCCGTTTTGAGTTTTATTTCCATTCATGCTTCTTCTCTCTCATCTTTTCGTTATTGCAAAAGTATCTGCTTCCGACTGCCAAAGTCGAGTGCGCTTGGCTTGCTTTGCTTATTCAAGAAGGTTATCAACGAGACATTTATAATCTTGGGCGACACTCTTAGTTCAATCGGTATTCCTGATCTGCCGCCTCATCTGTTCTCTATTAGTTTCAACCTACCGTGCTGAGTGGCCGCAACGCAGTGCTTTTCTTAGTCGAGCAGGGATTACACGTATTCTTGCCCACGACATGCGATGGCCGTTTCTTTGTTGAAGGAAAGTAATAAAGAAAACCGCTGATAATACGACAAACGTTGATCATAACATAGCCGATTTCGCTCTTAAAACTTATTTGGCAATCCAAGTTCATCTCGATTCCGCAATTTGCGGAATTGAATAAAAACTAAAAGTCAAACCCTTTCCACACTTGAGAAGTAGTCCGAATGATAGCAAATGCCAACAACAACCACCCGCTGGTAAGGCTCCCTTTTCTTGGGGTTGCTTACAAGCAAGTTGATGTGAAGTGTGAATCCTTGGCATACGGTCAGCACCAATCTGCAATTGAAAAAAATCATGGAGGGACTGGTTGTTCCACCGGCAAAGTCAAACCTTTAACTTACTGCATGACAACAATGGCACCCCACAGCGCCATGCTTGCTGCCATGGAGTCAAGTACCACCAATAAACGGTTTGTTCGTCTCCGCCACAGTAACTGACTGTTGCTGTCGTCCTTCTTGCCAACGTCTCTCCTCTTTTATTCTCCTCTCCTCGTCTGAGCTTTGTCTTGAAAAAGATGTTTGTTTAACAGTTAATTTAGATCCAAGCTGAGTATAGAACTCTTCACCTTATCACCATAGCTGCCAAGTCGGGGCCTAGACTTGGATATTAAAAAAATATTAACCCAGGATAACCCAGGCTGGAAAGCACCAGGCTTGCCGGTGCGGTCATGCGTTTTTGCACTAAACTGGCGGGTTGCTAATAGTAGGAATAATCCCTGCGCTGCAGCCAAACACTCATATTGGCCATGCTTTGGTTTCTTCTGGCATGCAGCAGAATGGGCGTCGGTTGGGATGAGGGGTTGCGTTATAGAGGCGCATGGACCTGGAGGTAAATGAAAATGCAAATTTCCAGTTCATTAAAAAGTGGAACTATTGCTCGAGCGGTCGTTTGTGAAAAATTCCAAATATGCAAATAAAGGACCGCCCTCATCCAAACTAATGTTCATTTACATATTTGGATGAGGGCGGCCGTTTGCTGCAGAACGCAATCGTTCCTGATTTTTCAGTAAAGTTGAGTATTTCTCACGCCTACCTGAAGGGAATTCCACCTTCAAGCAGAATCAAGACTGCACTTGAGAATAGAATATCCCAGCGAGTTTTGGGCCTCGCAGCTTATCCGCCAAGCGAAATATCCGCTTCGCTACAAATATCTTTGAAGTGCCCTAAGTCGTGGCGCAAGTGCAAGTCGGTGCTCATTTTAGGTATACTATTTCCTATACTGGAGACAAACATCCTGACAAAATTTCAGCCACTGTTTTCTGGCAAGTTTTTGGTTTAGCACAGTACCAAGTCGCAAACTTTAACGTGGTGATACGCGCTGCACAAGCGTACGCAGCAGTTGAATTTGAAATCTTTAGCTCGCACACACACAGAGAATATCCCTGCAAAATTTCAGCTTGTACCTTTTTTGGCTCACGAAATCGCTTCTCGCCAAAGAAATTTGCATATTTTTTGGGAGGTCCGTGCGCGGGGCTTAGGCGCGTGTAGGGGAAGATC